GGTGCGAGCCAGTGCACAAGCTCCCTTTCCTTTCACCTCCCTCCGCCCTGGTCCTGGGAAGCATCTTTGCTTCCTTTGCCTCGGCTCCTCCTTACATTCCCCAAGGGATCCATTCTGTAACCTGCTGCTGATCTGACACAGGTATTTTGTTTGTTACTTCCAAAACGAAAAAGAAAAAAAAAGAAATCCTAAGTTATTCCTCAGTGAAAAGATGCAGCAGCTGAATAAAACCTTAGCAGAAAGGAGAGGTTTAGGGAGAGTGGGTTGCCAGAGTTACAGCCATAGAGCTGGTGCATTGACAGCATTTGGAACGTTTTGCCTACATGCAGTATTTTTGCCTTCAGCTGCAAGGACCTTTCCATTTATCACCTGTCACCCACGTCAGTGGTACCAGCTTTGGTACCTGTTCCTTACTTCCTTCCCTTCCTGGCTGATCAATAAGTGGCCATGAGTTTCGGTGCTCGCAGGCTTTCACTTTCTCCAATTACACCCTGAACTTGTGCTCTGCAAGTGTCGTTGGACCAAAAGGGCTGCAGTTAATGCATGACCCTTCTGCACGTCGCCGTGTTAGTGCTCTCAGCAATCCTCCTGAGCTGTGCCGGCTGCTCAAGAGCTGCACGAGCCAGTAACAAACCATGAGAACAGAGCAACCTGCTTTTGAATGATACCTAGTACACCCTAGTGACCAGGTCATGATTCTTGGGAGGTTATGTGCCGCGTGGGGGTCAGTGGGGAGAACATAACCATGGTGTTAGGAAGAAAAATGCCACAAACCCACTTAACAGACTTCTGTCCCTCTCTAAAGAAAACTTAAACACGTTATTACTGGGCAAAAATCCCTCTCTTTTAGCAACCTGTGTTCAAAATGTTCATAGTACATAATGTCGCTTGTTAAATAAGAACCTACCTTAACAGATACGTTCAGATAGTGTATTAGAGAAAAACTGCTTTAGAATTGAGCACGTATACAGATGAGGGCTATCTCATAGAACACAAATTAACCCTTACAAGTATGTGTAGCTTCTGTAGGGTTATGCTAAACCAAACTACAAGATTTCTGTTTTCTTAACCACAGATACATAATGTCAGTCGTGGGTGTGCCATAGATACTGAGAATATATTTGGATCACTATGTATCTCAATAGAAAGCAGTAAATTTGGAATGCACTTGAGCCTTTCAGTTTCCTCGCTTGGTTTCTGTATCATCTGACATTTTCAGGTAACATCAGCCAATACCTCATGTTAAATAGTATACTGAAATACCACAGAATCCTAGGGGTTGGAAGGGACCTCGAAAGATCATTCAATCCAACCCTCCTGCCAGAGTAGGGGCACCCAGAGCACATCACACAGGAACGCATCCAGGTGGGTTTGGAATGTCTCCAGTGAAGGAGACTCCACAACCTCTCTGGGCAGCCTGTCCCAGTGCTCTGTCACTCTCACAGGAAAGAAGATTTTTCTGATGCTTATGTGTAACCTCCTATGGTCCAGTTTGCTCCCAGTGCCCCTTGTCCTATCACTAGACATCACTGGAAAAATCCTGGCTCCATCCTCCTGACACTCACCCTTTACATATTTATAAACATTGATGAGGTCACCCCTCAGTCTCCTCTTCTCCAAGCTCAAGAGACCCAGCTCCCTCAGCCTTTCCTCATAAGGGAGATGCTCCACTCCCTTCATCATCTTCGTAGCTCTGCGCTGGACTCTTTTGAGCAGTTCCCTGTCCTTCTGGAACTGAGGGGCCCAGAACTGGACACAATATTCCAGATGTGGCCTCACCAAGGCAGAATAGAGGGGGAGGAGAACCTCTCTCGACCTACTAACCACACCCTTTCTAATGCACCCCAGGATGCCATTGGCCTTCTTGGCCACAAGGGCACGTTGCTGGCTCACCACCACCACACTTCCTCAGCTTATCTACGAGGATGCTGTATGTAGTCTTTGTTTAAAAAGCTAGCTAGAGATTGCTTTCCTTCCTACAAAAACTTTGCATTTGAAATAAGTCTTAAGATCAAATAACTTTTACTCAGGGTATTTCACTACTTAATAACAACAACAAAAAGTAGTAGCATCCTAATAGAGCGTGCCCAAGGAGGAGGGTTCCCTCCTATCTTATGAGAAAATTCCCTCTGTTGAATGTTAGCCAGTTCATTCCAGCAGCTGTCTCACGATTCAGAAGTTACTACTTCTGAATTTTCAAGCCTTCTGGTTATGGTGATTACATGCTGCTTGATAGGAACATGTATTAGTAAAGAGGAAGAAGGTTCTATAATTGTTGCAATTTGAGACAATGCTGGTTTTAATCAGATTGTGGTGTTGAATGGCAGCCTCAAGCTTTCAGTAATATTAATGCAACCTTAGAGATTCAGCATTCAAAAATCACAGAATCACAGAACCATTGTGGTTGAAAAGACCTCAAAGACCACAGGGTCCAACATTCAACCCAAAAACCAAACAAACCCCAAACAAACCTTGACCACTAGAGCATGCCTTGAAGTGCTACATCTACATGTTTCTTGAATACCTCCAGGGATGGTGGCTTTACTACCTCTCTGGGCAGCCTGTTCCGACATCTGACTACTCCTTCAGTATAGAAATTCTTCCTAATATCCAATCTGAGCCTCCCCTGCCGCAACTTCAGGCTATTTCCTATGGTCCTGTCATTATTTACTTGAGAGAAGAATCCACCACCCACCTCCCTACAACTTCCTTTCAGGTAGTTGTAGAGGGCAGTGAGGTCTTCCCTCAGCCTCCTCTTCTCCAAACTGAACAACCCCAGTTCCCTCAGCTGCTCCTTGTTCTCTAGACTCTTCACATCTAATTTACATTCACAAGACCACATGCAATTCTTACAAGAATAATTACTACCTAGATAGATAGCTACTCTTAGTATGGAAAAATTACCATAGATATGTAACTTAAACTGTTCTTGAAAGGGACACGCCAGATAAGTAAGCAAGATGCTAGTTCATGCCATACTAAAATCTTATAACTGAACTCAGACCTTTGTACCTGTGACACTCACCCCATCTGCACAACAGTCAGTAGCACCACCCCAAGGAACCACAGAACCATCACCAGAAACTTCCAGGGAAATAAAAGGTCAGCAGCAATGGATGTTCTTAGCACTGCTGTGAGTCATATGTTACTCAGCTATTTGATTAACTGCAAAGGAAATAAATAAAAAAAGAACAAAACTAAAACAAACCCCAACAAAACAACAATCCCTCTCCCCTAACCATTATTAGGCATAACCAAGCTTACCTTTTCACTGAACTAATGCAGCCATATCCTCAGTTCTGTGCTCATAATGCAGTCTAGTAGTCCAGCAAAACAAAATCTTCATCCTTTCAATGTCAGGAAAGCCAAAGAAGAAAACTCAAAAGAGAGCACACTGCTCTAGGTGTAGAGAGGATGCTTCCTGCCTATACAACAACCCATAGAGTATATCTATACTTGGAAGATTAAGCTCTTGCTTTCTCTCTTCTACAGGCACAACCTTTTTTTTTTAAAAAAAAAAATAAAAAAAATTACATTTACTCTTCCCTATTTTGGCTTGCAAGCATTCGACCAAACAGACAGTTTATAAATCTGCTGATAAACGTCTCTCTTCCCAGAGACACCTACTTCCTACAGACACTTTTACTACCTTCCTAAGTTCCCAGGCTCCAGAAAGAAGCTGTGTTAATTAGGCAGCTGATGTTCATTACAGCATTAAGCAATCTTTTAAATTAGAGATTAGGTACACCTTCATGGTAGTTTACAGAAGTTAGCAGTCACTTGTTGGTCTGAAAAATTTGGGAATCCCTTTGTTACAGTATTTAGAGCTCTTAATCACCCAAATGAGCCTATCTACTGTTGCTGAAAGTGACACTTGGAAATGGTGCCTTTCTCTAAGCTCTGTATGTCTGTGTCATAGTAGGAAACTGAGTAGCCCTGCTAGTCTCTTGGACTTGTTTTTTTCTCAATCAAGTCTTTCCTTACCTCCTGTAAGATGCTTAAGATAAAAGTTCCATGAGAAAAAAAACAGAGGTTGTAACTTGCACCTGTGCTAGCAAAACAGCTTGCTGACATGTGCCAAAGGTATCCACTGTTTAGCCTTCTTTTAAGGCTGTGCCTCATGAGAGGCACGTTAGGCAAAAGGGCACCACAGCTTTATCAAAGGCTTAACGTTATTCTGACATCTACTGGGGTTTGTTTATCTACCCATTCTGTAGGCTCTCTCAAGTTCTCTTTTTCTTTTGCTGCACTTAGGAGTTACTACAAGATTTTACAATTTCTTTGTTCCTCTTCTTTTTGAGGGGCAGAGGAGAAGTTGCCTTATATCTGCACCACAGCCCTTCCTGGCACTTTTCTCCTCAAGTCCAGACAGCTGTGAAAATAGGTTTTCCACAGAAGCTGAGTTCTTTCTTTCACTCTCCAGAGAAACCTTTTGTTTGTTTTAAATTTCAAGCAAACCCTTTAGAGCCAGATTTGGAAAGATGCCTAAAAGATAGTATAGAGTTATATAAGTATCTAGGCACCTGACGGGCAATTTAGAACACGAGATTCCTATTAGAATCATTAGGCACTACCAACCATTGGGGCTGTGGCCCTTAATTTTTCAGGGTTTCAGTTTTAGAACACGTGATGTGTAGGGACAGTACCCATCTACTACAGATTAAATAGGTAAAACTGTTTATTAACCACATTTTGAAAACCTCAGGTAAAGAAATGGTTTTACATCAACTCAATATAACTGTAATGGGTTGACAGGATAAATCATTGTGGTTTTTAGGTCTGATCCTGTGAGAACCACATCTTTTACTTCAAACTGAGGCCCTTTGTTCTTAAGGGTCATGGGAGTATATGCTTTTGTCCCATTCTTTACATAGATGCTTATTTAGTGGAACAGCTAAATGCTTGATAATGACACTTCTGTTTCCTTGTTTATACTACAGGTCCAGAAGCACTAGAGTAGTTGATTTTGTTTTACTTGCTAAGCCACAAAGCCTGCAAACATGTCACTGGAAGACATCCACATGAACTCCCAGGATTTACTTGAAAAAAAACACTTGGATGCTGGAGGATTTGGAACAATTTCTTTATGCTTTCACAAGAAGCATGGATATGTAGTATTAAAAAAAGTGTATACGGGACCCCAGCGCACTGAGTAAGTTATGGATCTTGGTTCTGATTTTTATCTTCCAGTTAGTCTAAGAAATTTTCCAAACTCAATGGAGATAAATATAAATAAAGTTTAATAGTTTCAGATCTTTGTATCCTGGAGATACTGTATATGGGGAAAATACTCTAAGGCAATACTAGCAACTGTTCTGCAAATTTTCCTTTTTCCCTTAGGAGCCAACTTTTAAAATTGTAACTCATTGTTCCAGTGAATTTCTTGATTTCCGTTGCAAGGTCAGCTCTCCTGTGAATTGTTAAGAAGCAAGGGGACCCTTGCACACTAAAGGGACTGCAGGAACTTGGTGGGCATGTAATATTTGCAAGCTAGCGGATCTGTTTTCAATACAATTGTACAACTGTAGATGTCTGCTAGGAACTAAACACACATGAGCTGTCAGCAGAACTCCTACCCCACGTGTATAATACCAAGAATGTAACCCTCTGCCCATTGAGGAAAAGCAGAGTGAGCCAAGCTCACTGAATAAATTCAAAGATTGAATTAGCTGCTGATTTCAGTGGGTTCGGATCACATTGCAGGTCTGCTGCCTCAGAGCCATAACAATCCTACAGCTCTTCCACAAGTCATCCGTGAGATGCAGACAAAAGCCCATGGTCGGGTTATAGTTAGGGTTATAGTAAATAAATCAACTGAGTTTTTATTTTGCCAGTAGAAACCAAATTAAGAGATTATGGTAGCTTGCAAACTGCACTGGCAGTTTGAGGTGAACACAGTTTTAAGGTGGACAATCCTGCCTGGTTTATTTTGGAGTTTGTGTTTTTACTGTCTCACTACACAGACTCATACGTGTGTTATTCCTTAAAGATTTGAACTAAAAGTCTACAAGCAAATTTACAACTGAGCCTAATGCAAAATAAGGAGCCACCTTCTTCCTACAGGCTAGAAGAATGCAGAGGGAGACAGCAGTTTCCTTTTAAGCAACAGGGTAGGAAAGCACAAGCAAGCAACATAGTCTCAAGATATTCTTGCATCCTTTTACTTGATGACTAGAAGAGAAGGAATAGTAAAAAGAAGGCTGTCTATTATCATGGGTACCAGTAATCATTAGTAAATGTTACCACCATCCAGTATGTGGGTGGATCCCCTGTAATAAATACATTTTGAACATGACTGTGGCCCTCTAGGAAAGAGGCTGGTATAGTTTCCTGCACAAGAGGTAACGGAGTGTGTCTTGATTGTCCTTGTCAAAAGGCTCTTTCAGCCATGCCCTGTCCTGATCCCACACCAGTTCAGGGATTTGAACATGCACAATCAGCAGTGCACCTGCAAAAAAGAATGCTTATGCACTGTCTGAAAAGCAGGCCTTAAAATCAGGCAGAGCAGTCTCTGTGCAAGGCATTGAGACTTAGAGAATATAACACAGCATGCACAAAGTGGTATCAACATAAAAGCCACTGAAAGTGTGGTTCATCTTAAGGGTGGCCCTAGGAACGTTGACATTTTTGGCCATCATTTTCATTATGAATTAACAGCATTTTAATCCCTGTGTTCTTTCTAACCTGGCACCTAAATTCAGTGTAATTTCTGTTTTACAGATACAATGCTTCCCTCCTTGAAGAAGGGAAGATTATGCACAGGCTGCAGCACAACCGTGTGGTAAAACTACTAGGTATACTTTTGGAAGATGGAAACTACTCACTTGTGATGGAGTATGTGGACCGGGGAAACATGATGAAAGTGCTGCAGAAAGTGAGCGATGAATTACTTCATCCCTTGCCACTCCCAGGGTTGATAAAATACTTGAAAGGATGTTACTGCCATCTCCAAAGAATGGAGCCAGTGACAGTCCTGCCCTCTCTAGAGACAGCAGAGGACATCTATGGCTTTCCTTCGCATCACAGAGGAGCAGACCAGAGTTACAGGTTCAGAGTTACAGGAGTGTTTGTAGAGATACGTGGAGAATTGGCTGAAAAAGAATTATTTTGTAAATATCAAGTGACTTCAGAGTTACTTTAATGAAAAATTTAGATCCAAGAAGGACATAGTTCTTTTTTAGCCTGGCTTGAGCAGTGGTTCTCTTGGGACTGGAATAGAAACTTTTTTAAAGGCTGTTTTTAATGTGATGGTGGTAATAGTGGTTCTTCTAACAGATGGTACTTTTGTTCTTAATTGTAGATCTCACTGCCTTTGTCAGTGAAAGGGCGTTTTGTGCTGGAGATCACAGAAGGAATGCTTTACCTGCATGAGCAAGGCTTTGTACACAAAGACCTAAAACCAGAAAACATCCTTGTAGACACAGACTTCCACATTAAGGTACTTGTTAGAATGTAAATGGAAAAATCTGATAATTTTGGTTGAAGAACATTGTTCAGGAGCACTGGTTAATATTCCCGATTGGTAGATGAACTTCTTTGTATTCTAACAAGCTAAGACTAAGAGGGTGTTAGCAGTGGTTCACTGGAAGCATGGTGGCCTATTATACAAACCTCTGAGCCTGAGGTTTGTATAATCTTCCCCACATCTGTAAAAAACAAAACCAAACCAAACCAAACCAAACCAAACATCAAAAAAAAATCACTAAGTATTAAAAAAAATGAATAATATTGTTGAGAATCATAGAATCACAGAACCGTTAAGGTTCCTCTTTAATTGTGATGACCTCATTCTGCATCTCCTCCCTGTCTCCTAGCTCATGCGGCTGTATATCCATGGAACAGCTAGTTCCACTGCTAAAAACTGAGGCAAAGTAGGTGTTCAGCACCTCAGCCTTTTTCTCATCCTTTTTCCTCTCATACTAAGATTCCCTTTGCATCCAATAAAGGATGGAGATTTTCCCTAATCCTCCTTTTGCTGTTAATGAACTAATAGAAACATTTTTTATTATCCCTAACAGCTGTAGCTAGTTTGAGCTCTAGCTGTGCTTTGGCTCTCCTAATTTTTACCCTGCATAGGTTCGCTTCATCTTTATAGACCTGTCCCCTCTTCCAAAGATCATAGACTCTCCTTTTGTTCCTAAGGTCCAGCTAAAGGTCCCTATTTAGGCAGGCTGGTCTCCTACCCCACATACTGTTTTTTCGGCACACAGGGACAGCCTGCTCCTGTGCCTTTAAAACTTCTTTCTTGAAGTATGTCCAGCCTTCCTGGACTCCTTTATCCTTCAAGGCAGCCTCCCAAGGGACTTTGTCAATCAGTCTTCTGAGCAGGTCAAAGTTTGCCCTCCGGAAGTGTAAGGTGATAGTTTTATGAACCCCTCTCCTTGTTTCTCCAAGGATCAAAAACTCAATCATCTCATGATCACTGTGCCCTAGACAACCACCAAGTTTTACTTCCCCCACAAGAGCTTCCCTCTTCACCAGAAGCAGGTACAGGAGGGCAGCCTCCCTGGTTGGCTTACTTATCAGCTGTGTGAGGAAGTGCTCTTCCACACATTCCAGGAACCTCTTGTAATGTTCCCTCTCTGCTGTGTTGTATTCACAGCAGATGTATGGGGGGTTAAAGCCCCCCCACAAGAACAACAGCAAGTCACTGGGAGATTTCTCTCAACTGATTACAGAAAGCTTCATCCACCTCACTGCTTTGGTTGGGAGGTCTCTAGCAGACTCCCACAGCGATACCAGCCTTATTGGTCCTTAACCTAATGCAAACACTCTCAACCTCATCATGTCTATACTTGATTTCCAAGCTCTCATAACATTCTCTAACATAGAGGGCTACTCCACCCCCCTCCCCTTCCCTTTCTATCCCTCTTGAAGAATTTATAGCCATCGATTGTGGCTCTCCAGTTGTGTGACGCATCCCACCACATTGCTGTGATAGCCACTATGTCATAGTTTTCCTAGTGTATCATGGCTTCAAGCTCCCTGTTTGTTACTCATACTGGGTGCATTGGCATTGATGCACTTCAGATGAGCTAATGATTCCAACACCTTTTTCCCACTGTGGGCTCCATTTCCTACCAGACCCTTCTCAGGTGCTTCCATGGTTTCTAAACATCAATCCTTTCCCTCAAATGAAACAACAAACTGAGAATCCTCCTTAGTCCACCGTCCTTCAGGCCCTGGCATGTTTCTCTTGGGCTTGTCCCTAACAGGCCCAGTTTTCTCCCCTTCCCCCTTCATATCTAGTTTAAAGCTCTGTCAATGAGCCCTGCTAACTCCTGCCCCAAAATCCTTTTGCCCTTCTGGGACAGATGCATCCCACCTGCCACCAGCAGGCCAGATGTCTCGTATAGCAGCCTGTGATCAAAAACCCAAAGCCCTGCCTATGGCACCAGTCACATAGCCATGCATTGATCTGCAGACTCCTCCTGTTTATCTCTTCATCCTTTCTTGCAACAGGGATGGAGGCAAACAGTACTTGTGCTCCAGACCCACTAACCAGCCCTTCCAGGGCCCTGAAGTCTCTCTTCATTGCCCTTGGACTCTTTGTAACAATTTCATCACTATGAACCTGAAACACCAGCAGTGGATAGTAGTCACAGGGCTGCACCAGATCAGAGAGTTTCCTTTTAACAGCTCTAATCTGAGCCCCAGGGAGGCAGCAGACTTCCCTGTGGGATGGGTCTGGTTGACAAATGGACCCTCTGTTCCCCTCAGAAGGGAGTTACCCACCACAATTACTTGCCTTTTCTTCTTAGCTGAAGAAGTCCTAAGGCATGAGGGTGAGTGACCAGCCCTAGGTGATTCACTTGGTAAATCTACCTCTCCACCTTCATTTGCCTGGAATCAATGAACTACAAATAACAAAACATCTAGAAAGAAATCCCAAACCTCAATGCACAGAGATTGAAACCAAATAAAATGTCTTATGGTTTGTCTTTTGTCCTTTATTGCTGTATTTTCTCCTCCTGCCTTTACCTCCTCCTTTTTATTCCTTTCGTTCTTTCACTGATTATCTTTTCCTCTTTTGTCTCCATCTTTTTTTCCCTCAGTCATCATTTGTAATTGACAGCGAGCTACAAAAAAAGCAGTGGGTAACTACTTCAGAGAATGGTTTATAAGCCTGTTCCAAAGCCTTTTGATTAACTTTAGTGGGCTTTTGGGTCAAGACATATAGATAAAGAGCCTATTGCTGAATAAACCTGAGCAGAATTTGCAGCAGTCCTCATCAAATGTCCTTCTCTGGTCAAGGTGAGTTGCTGATATAATCACCCTATTACAGTATGAAAGCATAGAGTACATTCCTGTGAAGAAGGCTTTGCCACTTGATATTTCTTGCACATGTATTAGTGAGAAGTGGTTTGACAAGGTTAATATAGTAGGAAGTCCTAATCCAGTATGAGCAACTCAAAGAGTTATAGGATTTTATTTTTTGCCAAAAATTAAAAAAAAAATCATGATCTGCTCTGTAAATTGGATGCTTTTTGGGGTTTCAGCTTGCTTATGGACAGGACAAAACTAGGCTATCATGGCCCTGCATGACAAACTGAACTGGAACCCAGGGTAAAATTCAGAATCAGATCAGAGTTATTTAAGCAGCTTAATCATAATTTAAGGCAGCAGTATGATTTATCTGCTTGAATGTGCCTAAAATTGCCAATAGCTGTTATAGGAAACTGCAAATGTAGAAAGTTTTATATCGTATCTCCCTCTATTACAATAGATCTTTCACTTGTAGACATGAACGTGGACTCCTACTTTCTCAGCAGGATGTCACATTTTCCTCTTCCTCTGAATACATCAAAATTTGGCCCAAACTCAAGAGGAACAATAAGATAATTAGAGGCAACAAGAGAGAAAAGAAAAGCAAGTTAGAAGTCAGGCAAGGTGTCACCTGAGTTTTATCTGAAGTGACTGGGTTACATAATTCAGTTTGACAGCTGTCTGTGGCCAAGAGAAGCAGTCCCATTTCCTTCCTCTTCTGTTGACCTCCTGTTCCCTTGAATTAGCATTCATGCTAATCTGACCACCCAGCCCTGACGTAGGAAGCCAAACAAGCAGATTACAATTTGTCTCATTGACAGTGCTACCCTTCTGTTGGGGAGCACTTGATTCAGCAAGCCAATGGTCTCTCTGGCACTCAGTCTTCCCAGTGTCAGGTAAGTGTCAGTGCTGGAACAGGAGGTGCAGAGGGAGCACACGAGAAGAGGCTGTGGAGAAAGGAGGAAAGGATTTTAAGCTAGAGAAGGGTAGATTTAGCTTGGGCATTAGGAAAAAGTTCTTTAATATGAGGGTGGTGGATCACTGGAACAGGTTGCCTAGAGAGGTGGTAGAGGCCCCACCCCTGGAGACATTCAAGGTCAGGCCTGATGGGGCTCTGAGCAATCTGATCTAGTGTGAGATGTCCCTGCTTATTGTGGGGGGGTTGGACTAGAGGACCTTCAGAGGTCCCTCCCAGCCCAAGACATTCCATGATTCTATGATAACATCCTCTCCCAAGCACCTTCTGGACAGGGAACGTTGGTCCTTGGTGTCCCCTGACCCGTGTCCCCCACAGGTCACAGCCTACGGGGCCGGCGGCCGTGACGCGCCAGAAGCAGTCCCATTTCCTTCCTCTTCTGTTGACCTCCTGTTCCCTTGAATTAGCATTCATGCTAATCTGACCACCCAGCCCTGACGTAGGAAGCCAAACAAGCAGATTACAATTTGTCTCATTGACAGTGCTACCCTTCTGTTGGGGAGCACTTGATTCAGCAAGCCAATGGTCTCTCTGGCACTCAGTCTTCCCAGTGTCAGGTAAGTGTCAGTGCTGGAACAGGAGGTGCAGAGGGAGCACACGAGAAGAGGCTGTGGAGAAAGGAGGAAAGGATTTTAAGCTAGAGAAGGGTAGATTTAGCTTGGGCATTAGGAAAAAGTTCTTTAATATGAGGGTGGTGGATCACTGGAACAGGTTGCCTAGAGAGGTGGTAGAGGCCCCACCCCTGGAGACATTCAAGGTCAGGCCTGATGGGGCTCTGAGCAATCTGATCTAGTGTGAGATGTCCCTGCTTATTGTGGGGGGGTTGGATTACATGACCTTTGGAGGTCGCTTCCAACCCAAGACATTCTATGATTACTGGCTTCACTGTCAGCAGTCAAAGTTGTAAAACTGCACCCTAAGATTTCAGGAACGTCACCTTGTCAAGCACATAGTGTCCAGGTATCCCTACTTTAACTTATTCCGTGCTATCCTTTTCCATGTCTCTTTGCCATATAACATCGCATCATTTTAGACCCTCTTCTTCCCCCTTTCCTTAAATTTTGTGATTCTTCTAAGTGGCATTAAGTTAATGAAGGTTCAGTTTAATGGTTCCCAGATTACAGTGTTAATTTATTTAGGAAAAATAACCCCATAAAACAGCATGTAGTTTATTTTCTTTTCTTGTAGTTGCATTTTTTGCAATGTTTCGTTTTTAGATAAGTTACTACCAGCTATTGATTATAAAATGGAGCACTGCAAGAGATACTGGTTTGTCTTCTTTCCATCACAGCTCTAGCTCTGACAAATCACATCTTTCAGATTGCAGATCTCGGTGTTGCCTCCTTTAAGAACTGGAGTCGGCTGACCCAAGAAGAGACTGTCCGACAAAAGCAGCTGAAGAACACTCGCCAGAACAATGCTGGGACTCTTTTCTATATGGCCCCAGAGCATTTACGCTCTGTTAATGTAAAACCTGTGGAGAAGTCAGATGTTTACAGCTTTGGCATAGTGATCTGGGCAATTTTTGCTAGCAAAGAGCCGTATGAACGTAAGTTACTCCCAGAAGGACACTATCACAAAATTAAGTTATAAATGTTAAGCATTTGAAGTTTTAAAATTAAGATTAGTAAATTGAATCACCTAGGCCTCAGAATAGCACTTCATGGCCAGTAAGAGGCATCAATTGTATCATTCCTGACTTCTAAGTGTGGACAAGAAGGCATGGGCCCAATCTATTCACATCCAGATGGTGTGGGCATAAACCTGCACTCAGTGGCAGTAGTTAAACAAAGCTTGGGCAGACCAGGATGGAAACTCTGATGTATGCTATTTCCTAAGGTAGGCTAGTTATGTGTGGTTTTTCTTTTAACAGGAATGGTCACACAGCCAGTTACTGTTTCTTATCTGGGTGATGCTAAGTTCTCAACATGCTTTAGTGTGCTCATGTAGAGCAATAGGAGCAGACTGTTAAACTCCAGAGTAACATGGTTTTAATTGTGAAATTACTTTTTGCTAACTAAATAGCTAAACATTGCCTGTGAGGCCGTCTTTGTGTTCGTACCCAATGCAGAGCGTAACTGAGATTCAGGTTCTAGAGAGCTCTATCTGTTACCCTTATGTACACTGGGGATGTCTTGCATATAAAAGTAAGTCCATTAACCTTCAGTGGAGGTTAGGCCAGTAAATTCAGATTCACTAATGTGACAGATTTGTAGCTGTAAATCAGACATCTTTCTTTGAGATCATCTTTTACACATCCACAAACACACAGGGAGCTGCTTCACTGTTTCTTTGACCTATATAAAAGCAGCAAAACCTGTGATAGGAAATTTTATTTTTCAGATGGTATAAATGAAGCCCAGATTTGCTTTGGCATCATTAGTGGAAACAGACCAGACATAAAGGAGATCACTAATAAATGTCCAGGGGAAATTATTGACTTAATGAAACAGTGCTGGGAGCAAGATCCAGAGAAACGGCCAACCTTTGCAGGTAAGGCATTACTTTGGGATTCTTTTTGTTACATGTTGGTCAATAGTTTGTAAAGCAGCAAAACAAACTTGAGTGTTTTCATCTTAAAATATGAATTTTTCCTTTGAAAGTAGAAATATCGAGTCACATGCCCAGTAAAGCCTGCTCCCTGTACCCTGACTACAAACTTGGATCTGGTCCGATACCTACAGATTGGAGGAATACACTCCATAACTACTGATAATTTGCCTTCAGCTTAGTATCTTCCTGCTG